ACTGTACAGAGGGGTTACAATTACATGGGCAGGATAATGCGTACATTTCTTACCAAGCATTGCAGCCTCCTCCTTTGTTTACCCTTCACCTCCCTTCCCAGCCTCCCCCCTCCCCCCCAATCCCAATCCTTCTCCTTCCCCCCCCTTCCCCCCCCCCACCGACTTTGTAAAGCTCGTTTTGGACATGACAACTTGTACTTCTCATTGTTGCAACAGGTCCCCCTGTAAATATTAGAGATTTTTAAACAGTATATTTGAAATGGGATCCAGACAAACATATGCTTTGAAATGTTCCCTTGGTGCTTTTTATATATAACATTCAAGTAGAATCATGCATTTATAGGAGTTTGTTCTGCTTAAGTGTCCTTTATCCTTTCCCAACTTTTGCCTGCAATACAACACATGCTATCAGAGCTATTTATATATACAGGAAAACAAGAAAGCAAAACTTTAAAAAGTTCATTGAAAAGCAAGAGATGACTAAGAAAAAGACCATTTAGCCTGGCACCAGTGGCTCATGTCTGTAATCCTAGCTACTCAGAAGGCTGAGGATCATGATTCAAAGCCAGCCTGTAGAAGGAATGTCCATGAGGCTCATCTCCAATTAACTGCCAGAATACCACAAGTGGCGCTGTGGCTCAAGTAGTATAGCTCTCACTTTGAGCTGAAGAGTTGAAGGACAGCACCCAAGCCCACAGTTCAAGCCCCATGACCAACAAAAAAAAAAAACGAAAAAGAAAAAATGAAAAGAAGAAGAAAAAGACCATTTAGAAAACAAAATGCAGGGCATTAAAAAGTCTAAACATGGCTAGGAAGGTGGCTCAGTGGTAGAGTGCTTGCCTTGCATGCATGAGGCCCTGGGTTGGATTCCTCAGCACCAAATAAGCAACAACAACAAAAAAGTCTAAACATTAGTAATTATAATAAATGTTATTGAAATCAGTTAAATGACAAAGATTATTCAACTATATAAGGAAAGTCTAGGTAAAATGAAGGATGCCTCAGTAGGTATATTAATATCAGATAGAACAAAATTTTAGGATAAAAGTAGTAGAGATTATATTCTCTGACCAGAGTATAATTTAATGTCAATTAACAAAAATGTTAATGTCAATAACAAAATTTAAAACTAAACAATATTTCTATTCAGGATTTTAAGTTTTTTTCATTGTTTTTATAAAGGTGACGTACAGAATGGTTACATTTACGTAAGTCTGGTAAAGAGTATATTTCTTTTTGGATAATTTCACCCCTTCCCTCTGTTCAGGAATTTAAAATACTTATATATAATTCCTGATTCAAAGAAAAGATTATACTAGACATTTAAAATGCTAAGAATGAAAAAATTAGTGAAAATACCATATCAAGATTTGTGGAATGCAGTAAAAACTGTTTTGAGAATAGCACTGGATATTTATTATTTTGATGTGTTTGATGATCAGACTTTAAGTAGTCAATAATGTACCTAGAAGAAATGTAGTGTAAAGGTAATGTAAAAAGTAATGTAATCAACATTCCTGATGTCATTCTAATCTTTTCACATATGATATAGAAATAGAAATAGTGATATTGTGATGTTCTCATTCTACTTAATATAATCATAATTAAGGATTTTCCTATGTACGTATTTTTTTATTGTCTATGTGGTTCTGGATATAGAATTCAAGGTCTTATGGATGCTAAGCAGATGCTCTACCACTAAGCTGAATCACTGGCCAACGACATAGATTTCCATTGCATTCAGTTGTGGATTTCTCTTATAAAGTTTCATAAACACTGCTAAAGTGAATATCTTTGTTGCTAAGTCTCTGTGTAAAACCTCAGTGTTTCCCTTGGGTAATTTTTCAAGTGGAATTTTTTTATTAACACATTAACATAATTATAAGAATTTAATGCTTAGAACTTAAAGTATGTTTTAAATTGTATTCATGTTATAGAGTTTGGCTGGACAGACAAACACATATAGTCAAATATATATATTGTATGCTAACAGCTGGAATGCTTTTATTGTGTAGATTAAATGTATAGTTTAAGAAAATCCATTAACTTCTCCTTTAAAATTAAGAATATGTAAATATATAATAAATATACAAAGATACATAATATATACATGTTATATAATTTATATGTTATATAATTTATATTTATATTGGTAAGAATGAAACTATCATTTCCTAAGTGAATAAAATTAAGAATATATAGTAAATATACAAAGATACATAATACATACATGTTATATAATTTATATTTATAATTACAAATATCAGTAAGAATGAAACTGTCATTTCCCAAGTGAATATTTTGAATATATTATTTTTATATCTTACTTTGCCAGGTCCTTACTTCAATCCACGCTCTCGGCAGAGAATTCCACGTGATCTGGCCATGTGTGTTACTCCAAGTGGCCAGTTTTACTGCTCAATGTGTAATGTGGGAGCTGGCGAAGAGATCGAATTCCGGCAGCATTTAGAGAGCAAACAACATAAAAGCAAGGTGTCTGAACAGCGGTATAGAAATGAGATGGAGAATCTGGGATATGTATAGTGATTACCATATTCAGATAGAACAATTTGTCCTGCCTGTGGTTTGCCTTCTGTCAACTTACTCTACTTTGTGATCCTTTTGATATGAGTACATTCCTCTGCTTACTGTTCTATATGTAACCTGCAGTGGTACTGTGAGATGTCAAAACTTAGGGGTGGTGGGAGGGGGGGTGCGGGAAGCCTGCTTCTTAGGTCATAATGCATTCTAAGGCCAACTGTGTTGTGCTGTGTATAGCATGTGACCTTCTTGTTCCTTCAGAAAGAACTTTTTATTCTTGGCCAACCTCTTGTTGTCAGTAGCCTGATCACTTAGACTGTTTAACAATCTCATATTCTTTTGTTATTTTAGTTTTATGTACTGTTAGATGAAACACAACTTTGAGTTCTTACTTCAGATCTCAATAAAAACAGTTAAGTAGAGACGTTCATTTTCCAAGGCTCCACTGGAACCATCAACTCAGTGCATTGTCAGTAACACACATGCTCTAGGCTCCATTAGGGATTAGGGTTGTTTTTGTTTTTGTTTTTCCCCAGGATGTTATTTCCCTGTGTCATTTCCCTCCATTTTAAAATGAAGCTTTCTTAAACTTAGACATTTTCAAAGTGCTTTAGTTCTTCCAAGTAGTGTAACTTCATTTTCAATTATTTCACACATTTAATTGCCACTTACCCTCCTCCTACTTTTTCATGAAACACCTAGTTGTATCAGCCTGTCTAATAAGCTTATTTGTATGCTTTAGCTGTACTATTGGTTTTCTAAGCCCAGATTTGAATAATAAGTTTAAGATGGATCTTTTTTTTTTTTTTTGTCAGTTGTGGGGGCTGAACTCTGGGCCTGGGCACTGTCCCTCAGCTCTTCAGCTCAAGGCTAGTGCCCTACCACTTGAGCCACAGCAACACTTCTGGCTTTTTTTTCTGCTTATGTGGTGCTGAGGAATTGAACCTAGGGCCTCATGTATGCAAGGCAAGCACTCTACCACTGAGCCACCTTCCCAGCCCTGAGATGGATCATTTTTTAATGAGTTTAAGAAATATGAAGACATATTTGATTTTTTAAAACTTAAAGGAATGTTTTCATTGATAGTCAACTGCACTTACATGGTAGTCTAAACAATAACTTCAATCTCTATTTTATTTTGGCAGATGTTTTAGATAATCCAGTCCTTACCTTTTTACATTCTTCTTTGTCCTGCCGGCTTATTGGGCTGTTCTGAAAAATACCACTTCCTGCAAATCCATAGAGAAACTGTTTTAAAAATTGTGCAGATTTCAGCAGCATCATTTTCAGTAATAAAATACATGAATTTTGCTCTTGATCTTTGTATTTTGGCTTTCTTGAAGACACTAAAAATGTGTTACAAATGATTTTAGTATCTGGTAATTATGATAGAATTATTATCTCTTTTACATAAAAGCCATAGTATATTTCTAGATGAACTAATGAAATTCTCTGAACTTTGATTAACGGCATTTTCTCTATTTACTATGTTTTAGTAAATGAATTTATATTTTTGGTTAAGATTGGTAGCCATCCATGCCACATTCACCAGGACGTTTATATTGAGCAGTATTTTTATAGTACGGTAAACATATGTATGATTATTAATGTTTTCAAGTGAAAGTGAAACTCCTGTGTAGCCTTGAGAACTCTATGGGCAAATGGATGTAGAGAAGGGAAATTATAATCATCATTCTTTTTAAGTAATACAACGGAACAATTTTGAGCACTCTAGACCTGTCATTAAAATTCAGTTTTGTGATTAACTTCTAGAATAGTATGAAGTTACTTTATTCTGCCAAAGTGATGGTTTATTGGAAGGCAAAATTATTTGATAAAAATACTTTTCTCCCAGAAACAGAAAACTTAATTAATGGTCTGTTGAGATCTATCTTGGTCTGTAATTCTTTGAGTAACACATTTTTTTCAGTAATTTTTAAAGTACAACTGCCAGTTTAGGGCAATTTAGGGCTTATTTACAAGTTGGTTATTCATTTTGCTGCTAAGTATGATTTGCCGGGGTGGGGTAGATTTTAATACACTTGGTTCTATGATTGCTTAAAAATCTCATGTTTCCCTCTGTAGAGGTATGTATGTGTGCATAGTTACACCCACTCACCCTCACAGGTTTATGTGATACCATTTAGAGAGATTTGTTTTTTACTGACTCTGTTTCAGATAACACTAAAATATTACAGATATGAATTTACATTTTGTAACAGTGGCATTCATCTTTCATTTTTGTTACTCTGAAAATGAAATTGATGGACATCCTCCTCCTGCTCTCCCCATTTAGCAATGCCATTGTATATGTTCAAAAAGCTGTGGACTTAAAGGGCTTGATTTCTTTTCAAGCCTGTGTATTCAGGTTTCCAGTTTCCCAGTGCCCTTAATGGATGTTATGGATGCATTTTCTTCTGATGAAAAAAGTTAGTTTTCTAGTGTTGTTTCTTGTTCAGTTACTTTGCACTAAAAACAAGGTATGTATTTGTTTTATATGACATTTTAGTACCATATTGCCTATGATAGCTAAATTTCTTTCTTAATTTTCAAACTCGGAAAGTTGATGAGTAATTTCTGTGATCATTTATAGAAAAAAAAAATCACAAGTCTCTGTGATGCTAGGTTGGGTTTAGGGCTAGTTACTTGCTGTATTCTTTCCATGTTCCCTAGGTGAGATAGAGGGTGACAGAGGTTGCTGTGGCTGCATGCTGTATAGTCATTCTAAGCAGGAAGTTGTTGCCTTTAGGTCAGTGACATGTGATCTCTTATTTCATGTTGTGAAATAAGCTCTATTCTGTAATATGCTTAATATCTGTACTCTTTCTCTGAGAAATCATGTGTCTTTTTCTGTCCTATATACAAGAGGGCAGAGACCTAAAAACATAAATGATTAGTTAAAAACAAAGAGAAAGAAAAAGGATAAGAAAACTAATAATCATATCAAATCTTCCTACTCTGTGAATATCTTTGTATATGTCGTCATTAAAAATCACTGTTGAAGATAATTAGGAACTCCTCCAAAGTGTTGAGAGTGAGAGGTTGTAATGGAGAAGTTTCATGTTTCAATTAAAAGATCAGATTGCATATGCTTTCAAAGTGTTTTTGTTTTTTTAAAGGTCAGTTGGAAAACTGAGTATTTCCATTAATAGTTTGACTCCAAAGCAGTTGGAACAAAAAATACTTTACTGGTCCTGACTTGGTGTCATATCTTGTAACTTGCCAATATGTGCATGTTGTTTATTGTTTGTGTTGCTTGTCTCTTGGCTTTTTTTATTTTTGGACCTTCTTGTCTGGTCTACCTTTGAACTGTGATCCTCAGATCTCAGCCTCCTGGGTAGCTAGGATTACAGGCATGGCCTTCTGGTGCCCAGCTCCCACCTAGGATTTTTGTACCTGAGATTGAAAAAAGAATTATGACTTGGGTCATCTCCATTCATGTGACCTACCAGGCTAATGGGAAACACATGGCCTCTCACCTGACTTCACAAGCTATTCTGCAGAACTATGTGAGGTAGATAACTGACTACAGTTTGAACAGTGATAGAAAGATACATGTATGCATCATACACACACACACACACACACACACAAAGACACACAGACATGCACATATTATAAATCTCCCTCTGTAGATAGAGTCTAAGCAATAACAGTGGGATTTGCAATTGCTTGATTCCCATTTCAGTTGAGACTGAACAATGGTAGCTTGTCTGTTACTGTTTTTCACAGTATTCTTGACTTTGTTTTAAAATTTAGGCTGAGAATACTTGCTTAGGAACTTGGAGTGGAGTGTGTGTGTGTGTGTGTGTGTGTGTATGTGTGTGTTAGTAGAATTGTTTTAGAAATATATTGAGTGATGTGCTTTCAGAGTAGGCAAAAGTTTAATGTTGACCTTTGAACAGCTTTTTAAAAAATTTCACCTTACCATTTTTTTCTTTATTACCCAGATCAGTGGTTAGGAGTTTTATATATAAAAGAAAGTGTCTGGTTTTGGTGGTGATATTCTGGGTAGGGGTGTCCTGCCCTTGGTAGCTATTAGTATTTGTGTAGCTGAATAAATCTGTGTAAATAGTTACTCATAAGACATTTCTACTGATAATTGTTTTCCCAGGATGATGGGAATCATTTATGAACTTCTTTTCTGTGTATCTACCAAAAAAGTACTGGCTTATGGTTGCATGTGACCCTATGTCTGTTAAGACCAGAATATGAGTGCCTTTAGCAAGTGTTAGCATTTCACAGAGAGTAGAGATGAAAGAATTATTGACATTAATCATGATTCATAAAACAAGAGCTTGAAATAGCAAAGATTTGGGTGAATTCTGTTCTATATCTTTTTTTCTTTTTCTAATGCAATCTCAGTTTGATAACAAGTAAAATTGTTATATGAATCCAATTTTAATAGCATGGCCATAACTACTTTGGTATGTTACATTCATATTTAGTGAAGGTAGTTACTTGCTGGATTGTGAGGGCTTGACACTGATGTTGGGAAAAAGTTCTTTTTCTTCACTCCACAATGCCTTTTTAAATATTTTTTTCTATAGAGAGTAGAAAACTGCATATTTGTGAATCAAGTGTATTAAAAGACTATTGTGCATAGTAATTGTTAATTGTTGGTTCATCTCTGCATCAAAAGAAGTATATATATTTTCTATGAAGATACAAGGCATTTTGATATTATTCACCCTCCATCTTTCTCTAAAAGTATTCACAAATTGGGCTTCTGGGTTTTCAATTGCAGTTTTCCTTCACTTAGTTTAAACATTTAAATTTCTTGAGTACTTAAAAGCTTTAAGATACGTGGTAATCTTGTTATAGAAATACATTTTTCTCAGCAACTTTTCATGACCAATTTCAAATATCTATCAAAGCTGTAAACATTTACAATATACCCACCACTAGATTCTGCTATCACTTGCATTACATTTCCATGTCACCACGCATCAATTTTCTACACTCAGTCCATCAGGATCACCATTTCAATAAAAATATCAGACAGTACACGCTCACTTGGTATCATCAACAAGGACTTAATATTTTTTAAATTAACATTTCTTTTTATTCTATGGACTTTAATCTCCCTGCTTCTGTTCTTGTGTGTATGTGTAGAATGAAGAAAAACAAACTCCTTTTGCAAACTGAAGTGTTCTAGAGTAGGTTATCTAAATTGTTTCATTCTTAAACATTTTTGTTTTCATAATAAGACCCTCTTCCCCATCTCAGCCAGTGGTGTGTTTTTCCTGAACTATGCAACCTCATTTTATTTAATTGCTGCTTTTTATTGTTGTTGTTCTTAATTCTTGATCTGCTTTTAACTCCTCTGCCAGAAGATAGAGGGGAAGAAAAGGTGAACCTCATATGTGATGAGGTGTTTCAAACAGCTTTAGAACTGATTAAGTTTGTTAGAAATTTGAAACTACTAATTTATCTCAAGAATTTTATTTCAATTCCTAGAGCATGCTTCTTTTAGTTGCAATTAGCAAAATTAAAAGCAATTTTACTGTACAATGAGTTGATGAAATTGTGAGCCTACTATTGTTAGCTTTTTGTATAATGTTTCAAACATTTAGCATCTGACTTTATTTTTTGTGCCCACTTCTTGTCAATAAATCTAAGGAATTTAAGTATCTTCCTCCAGGTCACCAAGATCAATGGTGAATCAGAATTGAAGCTTAAATCAGTAGATTCATATTCTTGTGCTTGAAAAGATTCGTAGATTCTTAAATAACTAAACAATTTTGGGTCCTTCAAAGCAACATACATATTTTTACTAATTAGACTTTTATTTTTAGACATTTTAAAATGCTTTGAACCTAAAGATACTCTCATAATCAGTTTTAAAGTTAAGGCCAGTGGCAGTTGTTAAAGTCTCACACACTGTTATTAATGCAGGATTCATCAGATTTTTTTTTGCCTTAAAATGGCTGTCAGGAATCACTCATAACTGTGTGTTTTAGCGACCCTTTCACTAGAGAAGGTGAATGTTCTGTATCACTGATTAATCAGTGCTATATAATATATAATCATATATTATATTCTCTACCTGATGTTAAGTGATATTGTCCTAGGGAAATTACATAGTCTATTATAGTTAGCAAATCTGGCATTTATGGAACAAAACTCTTTTGGAGTGGCTAGTCATTATTTTGTCTTCTGTTGGTACCTGACTACCTTCCTATGGTTTTGTAAATAAAAGTCCTTTTTTGGTTAGAATTTCAAGTAGGTTCTGCATTATTTGGTATTCACCTCGTGGCACCCTCAGCTGACCTTGATGATTTGGTTTGGATGTGGTGTGTCTGCTTTCAAATGCCTTACTAGAGTATGCCAGGCTCTGCTTTAAAGCATTCTGTGCACTTAACTATGCTGACAAGTGCCCTCTCTTAGATGTATTATGCTCTAGGTCCAAAAGCAAAGTTTTGCTTTTACTGTTAAGGTTGTAGTTGAATACTATTATTGTCTTAAATTAGAGAACAAATCATGGAAAACCAAGGAGGACTTTAGAACCTTCATTTAATGGCATGGCAAATTTTTAAACTGCTTTTGCTATTTCACTCAGACAAAATTTTTGGTAAAGAATATTTCTGAAAAGTGCTAGCCCAAACAGTACAAAACTGGGTTGTTTCCAAAAGTCTTCACTAAATGTCACACAGGTGTTTAAGATCTGTGTATACTATTGGAGCAATGTGGCAATGTGCCAATCACCACTTTTCTTTTGGGGCTACAGAAATGACAAATGTGTCATGGCATTAAAACCAAACAACTGTGAATTATGAACTTGAAATTGTTCTTTATATTGAATATAGAAATCTGAAAGTTATTTAAGATTTATACTGCTTATGTTGATGGCTTATTTTGGCTGTGTATTCTCTCTTATGCACTGATTTCTGGTAAAGGCTTGATGTTATGTTCAATTTAATAAAACAATTTCTGAGTCTTGTCTGAAAATGGCTTGATTATTAGTTGGAGATAAGGGAGGAAGTGAATTTTCAGTAATGAATCTTATTTTGATGTCAATTGTTGAAGTCTGTAAGTCTTCATTAATGTCTGTACATGATCTGCCCTGTCCTTCCTGAACTCTTGTAGAGCACGGTAAACCCTTGGATTTACAATGGAATTGACCTACTTGTGTCTATTGCCTCTTGCTCAGCACTGGAGCAGTCCTGGGATTAGTGTATATTCTTAATGTTATTGGTATATTTGAATATTTATCTTCTCTTCAAATTCTAAACAAATGGCCTTAGCAGGATCACAACCATTTCTTCTAGAAATAAACATGTATTTAAAAATTACATGCTTAATCTCTTGAATGTTTTACATATAAAATGCTCCACAAATGTAATGAGTTTTTAAATGTGTAATATTGAGATGTAGTCTTTTGAGCACTATGGTTTATATTCATTGTGCTTTTGGATTAATAAAAAGTAGAAGCTGGGTGCCAGTGGTGCATGTCTGTAATCCTAGCTGCTCAGGAGCCTGATGTCTAAGGAATGCAGCAAAGCCAGCCTGGGCAGGAAAGTCCATGAGACTCTTAGAAAAAGCTGGTGGTAACGCTGTGGCTGAAGTGGCACCTTGAGCACAGAGAGCCTCATGGACAGAGCCCGGGCCCTGAGTTCAAGCCCCAGACTGGCAAAAAAAAAAAAAAAAAAGTAGATTATAAGCCATACAATGCCTATTATACTTTTTGTAACCTGAATGCAAGACACACTTACTGTTGTGGGAAAAATTCTTGGTTCTTCATAGAAAAATGTTTCTGAGTGAAGTGAATGTGTCACATTGAATTTGTGTGTTATAAAGTAACCAAGGCATCAGCATATTTTACTTAATCATCTTTGTAGAATTTTGGCTCAAAAGAAAGCTATGGTAATGGCCATCAGCCAAATTCTTTTTTTTTTTTTTTCTTGTCGGTCATGGGGCTTGAACTCTGGGCCTGGGCGCTGTCCCTGCGCTCTTCAGCTCAAGGTGAGTGCTCTACTGCTTGAGCCACAGTGCCACTTCCGGTTTTCTGGTGGTTTATTGGAGATAAGAGTCTCATGGACTTTCCTGCTGGGCTGGCTTTGAACCGTGATCCTCAGATCTCAGCCTCCTGAGTAACTAGGATTACAGGCGTGAGCCGGTGCCCGGCCAATCAGCCAAATTCTTAAGCCACTGGAGATTTCCAGCTTTTCTTTATTTAGACATTTCTGAAGTTTATTCATTTGCTGAAAATCTATTGCTTTATTAAGCAATAGGAATTATACTTTAAATTGCTTTTACATAAAAGGCTAGCAGTGAATTTTGCCAGACTATTAAAAGTCAAAATGAGATTGTCAAGAGATCAGAAATGCACCTTTGTGTGTGTGTGTGTGTGTGTGTGTGTGTGTGTGTGATGAGTTTTTAAGACTTGTACTATTTGAGGCTTTACTCACCAACTGTTACTCCTATTTGTAGGGTATTCATAAACAATTGAGAACTGGGAATTTACAGGAAAAATTAAATCAATTTAAACATTATTGTGACATGTGAGTATTGCATAATAGGGATGTAGCTATCAGTTCTTACAGAAAAAATAAAAGTCCTTCCCAAACACACATACACACACACACTCGCTCTCTCTCACACACACACACACACACACACACATACACACACACAAAGTGGGATAGACATTAGGAAGAAATGACTAGAAATAGGTTTAAGGTGATCAAGTAACAAAAGTGAAATGTGTTCAGAGGAACAGATGTAAACCTGTCAGTGGAAGAAATACACTCCACAATAGGCCGTCTATAACTTATGATTGTTGTTTTGGGTAAGTATGGTTAGGTATGAGATTGGAATTCATGTGTGTTTTGGCTGACAGTCTTCCCTTCAGGCAAGAGAAAAATATCTTTCATATTAGCTTTAGTGTGTGTGTGTGTGTGTGTGTGTGTGTTGGTCCTGCAGTTTGAATTCAGGGCATGGGCACTGTCCTTGAGGTATTTTGCTCACTTAAGACAGTGCTACTTTTGTTTTTGGTAGTTAATTGGAGGTTTCCCTGGATGGCTTCAAACCCCAGTCCTCAGATTTCAGCTTCCTGAGTGGCTAAGGTTACAAGTATGAGCCACCAGTGCCTAGTTTATCTTTCATTTTAAATCTTTTCTTAGGTCAAGGCACTTAATAAATCCTGATTTTTAGGAACAGCTTCTAGGTTTAGACTTAAACCAAAGGCATCTAGTGCCACCCTGTGGTTTCTTCAAAATTTACAGTTAACAATTGTGGTTGGTATACAGACTTTCAGGCAGGAGGATCTTTAGTTAAAACTGACCTTGTGGAGGATAGGAATTTTTACTGGTAGGCAAACAAAGCCAAACTTAGTTGTTGTTTTCTTAACTGTAAAGAAATAGGAAGCACAATATAGGCCTTTCTGTTGGTGCAGCTGTTAAAGGTATAACAATGGGAAAAGTTGAGAATCAGGATACTTACCTGTATGTGTGTCGGTGTGTCTGTGTCTGTGTGTATGTAGCTATGTATGCATAAACATGTCAATGTGAAATTGTTGTAGTTATCAAAATACATTGTTTATATATTTTCCTGCCTAATAAATTAGAACTACAATAATTGAAACTCTCAAACAGGAAGCAAAGAACCACAAAAATCTTTCCATCCAATGACTGGTGAAAATTAAAATCAAAATTGTACAGAGAGGCAAATGTTACCAAAAAAATTAAAAGTTAATGCTGATATTATTACACTTTACTGAAATTATTTGGGCAAAGAATTATTTTAATATAGTGTATCTATCTGAAGTACATTTCCCTGTTAGGTATGAATTTCAGTCATGTCATTTCTTTCTTAGTACTGTAGGTAATTTAGGAGACTGTGTTTTTAAAAAAATGAACTGATTTTTATTAGTAAGTTTGAACGCTGTGCTTCCCTGTCCCCTTCTCAGAGTTTAATGCCAATCATGAGTTTCTTGAGTATTTACCACAAATGGTCTATTATGCCATTCCATCTGCACTGTTAATCACCTTGGGTTTTTGGTAACCTGTGGGTCCTTAAAAGCATTCCATTCCAGCCAAGGAGAAAGTGTCTTATTTTTCATCATTGTGTTGTACTTTCTTGAAGGAGTTCCACAATTTCATGTATTACCCTATAGAGATAGACCCACACACACATTTTTAAATTTTAAAAAGTATATGCTGCAAAGTTTAATATTTTTAACCAGTTTAGTGTATAGTTTAGTGACAGTAAGTACACTGTTGTTGTGCCACCATGGCTAATATTATCTCCAGAACTTGTTTTTATATATCCAAGTGAAACTCAGTACTCATTAAATAGTAACTTCCCATCCCCATCTCCCGATTTTTGCAACTACCATTCTATTCCCTCCTCTTTCTCACTTTCTTTGCCCTCTGTAAATTCCACTAGGCACTTTATGCAAGTAGAATTATGTGAACATTTGTGTTTTTGCATCTGTCTTATTTCACGTAGCACTAATCCTCAAATTCATCGATATTATAGTGTGAATGAAGTCCTTTTTTTTTTTTTACTTCTATGATTCCTTTATATATCACATTAAAAAAATCTATTCATCCATCAATGAACAATTGAGTGGTTTACACCTTTTGGCTATTATGAACAACGCTAGTATGAATATAGTTGTGTTGGGTATTCATAAATTAAGACAGGTTGTAAATTAAGAGTAGACATACAATAATCACTGCCAGTTTAGATGTATCAAATTTTAAGATTTTTTTTTGCCTTACATTACACCAGAATCAAAAGTATATGTGTGAGCATGGTCACACCAAGGACAGGTTGAGGGTCAGAGGCTGTCGGGTCTTCGTTGGTCCTTGGAAAGACCCATGGGGTCTGAGGAAAGGTAAGTGAACTGCTAGCTCATTCCCCAGCCTCCCTTAGCCCAAGAGACAATCAGATGCAGCGCAGCAGCGGGGAGTCAAGCCAAGCAGGAACTCCTTTATTAACACAGAGCCAGGGAGGAAATGGAACCAACCAATCACACTGTAAAGATCACACTCTATCCTGCACCTAAGCTTCCACAAGCTGTTTACACACTGAATGTAAACAAATCCAGCTCTGCCCACTTAACTTCCTCTCAGGGCCATCTTTGCGACCAGTGTACCCCACAAGAGGCCATAACTGTAATTTCCAAAGTCTGTTTTTTCTCTAACTTGTTTTTGATTTGGTCGGTTGTGGGGCTTGAACTCTGGGCCTGGGTGCTGCCCTTGAGCTCTTCAGCCTAGTGATCTTCCACTTGAGCCACAGTGCCACTTCCTTTTTCTGAGTGGTTTATTGGAGATAAGAGTCTCAAGACTTTCCTGCCTGGGCTGGCTTTGAACCATGATTCTCAGATCTCTGCCTTCTGAGTAGCTAGGATTAGAGGCGTGAGCTGTGAGCACCCAGCCCTCTCTAACTCATTTTGTGGATTTGGAAACAAATATCCTAAAATGTAAATTAATTCTACCATTTCACACTGCTTTTCAGTATCATATTTTTAGACAATATAATTATATTTCCCCTAGTTACAAGTTTCATTTCAAGAAGTAAGTTCTAGATGGCATAAACCAATTTGTTATACAAATTCTAAGCTCACACACACGACTGTAGACTCAAAAAGAGTACTAAAAAGTTTTGAATTGGGATTTTAGATTAGTGGCAGAAAAGTTGCCTAAATATACACAAGGCCCTGGGTTTGATCCTAAACACTGAAAAATAATAATTTAAAATATTTCTATGGAGAAAAATATATGTATGCCATAAAATGATAAGGTTTATATATGATACAAATAATAATATAAAAAATTAAACATGGCAGAAATACATGAGATTCACTGTGCACCTATACTGATTTCAATCTTTCTGCTCCCCAAATAAACCTACAACCTTTGTGGTAGTTATTCTTTCTATGTATGTTGTCATAATAATATCATATGATTCTATAATCACATCATTCATGCTTAAGTAAATCAATGTCTTATAATGTGAAAATACCTCTGCTTTTTCATTTTTAATCAGCATTGTTTATGAGGTTTATGATAATGCATGTAAACTTATTTTATGTGCCTATGGTATTCCATTATCTTAATATACTTTCTATAATTCATCCTTCTATTAATGGACTTCTTTTGTTTTCAGTATTTACTTATTACAAAGAACACTACAGTAAATGCTTTTGCACATATTACCATCAATGCTTGTATGATAATTCTAGAAACTGAATCTTTGCTTCATCATATTGGTGCTTATGGCATCTACCCAGGACTTGTAGAATTAGAATCTGGCTTTATTGAAGAACCCTGGGGACTTT